TTTTCCCACCATTGACTGCGATGCATTTCCTCACAGCCTGTGGAGCACGCCAGCGCCTGTACGAGTGCAGACAGCTTAACTCAGCTGCTGGCTTGCACTTCTCGGCGCTCTCCTGTGAGTTTTGAGGGATACCTCCAGCTGCTGATTTTAAACGTTTCGGCTGCAGGTTTGACCCCCGCGACCTTTTACAGTCCTCCTCACCAGAGGGACTGCTGGGACTTTTTAAAGCTTCTCTGAGCAGCTTTACCGTCTGCTCCCAGTAATGTGGCTGACTAAAAGGTTGCCCTCGTGCTGAGTAATGTGTGTTGGGGCACATAAGGCCTTGTGCTGGGGTGAAACCCGGGTCACCCCACTTTCTGCGCCCCGGGGTGATTTAAAGGTGCGCTGCAGCGCCTCACCTGACGCACCGTCTTCAGGAGTCCAGCTCACATGTCTGCACACACATGCAAACATGCACTGAAGTTGAGCAGTCATGTGGCACACACAGTTGCCATGTGAGCGCGTTTTCCTTTTTACCCCCCTCCTTTCTCCTATCTCTCTCTTTTTGGAGTTATGCTTATTGTGGGATGTCAGTGACTGCACTCATTACTATTATGGGATGCTGCACAGGGGTGGGAGGGGGTGAGCGTCTCTATGGCAACCATGGTTGCTATGGGAGGGGTGGAGGTGTAATGGGGGGGGGGGGGGATCTGCATGGAGGAATGGGGAAGAGACTGTAGAAGAGGGAGGGGGTGAGTTGACTATTATGGTCTGTACGTTGCAAGGTAACTATGCAGAGTGGGGGAGGGGTGAGTGAAATGTGCGTGTATATGTATGAGTGTGTGCATGTAAGTGTGTGTGTGTGTGAATATTATGGGATGCCTGCCCCCTGATCTCTTTGTGTGTGCGCGCGCGAGGAAGAGAAAGAGGAGAAGGCGTCGTGCGCACACGCTACCACCAAAAAACACAAACATATTTAAATGAATGCGCACCGTTGAGACAAAACCCGCTTTTAAACGTTAAATCGCTGGCAAACTGCGCGTGGAGTTACCGGTTTTTGGAGCGATTCGGAGTCAAGTTGTGAGTACGTCAGTTTGGGGTTTTCTTGGGATTTTGTGGGAAAATGCGCGAGGACGCCTCAGCGAGTGTCATTTTATTTGTAGCTCTGAGGCGACTCTTTTTCTGTCTCTAATCTCAATCTGCCCGCCGGTTCGGCTCAGCTCTGTTAGCACGCATGCTAATGGCACTGAAAGTAACCGTAGATGTCAGCAGGGATGGAGTGCGTGCTGTGCATAATTTGTATAAACTTCACAATAGCCGGGTAAAGTTGGGGTTTTGCCCCATGTGTTCACTGCTAATGTCCTGTGTTTTACCGGGCTCTGCTTCGCTCCTAACAATCCACTTCCGCTTTCTTTTGTGTTCTTACTGAACCTGGCCGGTGTCCCCGCTACGATTTGGACGGACTTCAGGCTGAACTCTGGATTATCTCAAAATAATAACTTTTATCTATAGCTAGCTAAAGTGCTAGCTAACTAAAAAAGAAAGTTTCCCGCTGTCCGCTATGTCTGGAAGTGAAGATGACAGAGAAGACTACGGAGTCGCCGACGACCGCCTAATGCACGGTAAGATGAGGCTCGTTAGCCGAATCTGCTAATGTTCACGCTGCTCGTGCGTTAGCAGATGTTTTTGACGTTCACATCAATCATGCTAGCACAGCGCTAGCGCGTCGATGCGGCTAACTACTTAGCAGCATCCGCTCTAGCGAACCTGCTATCAAACACATTTTAGAGACGGCAAGTAGTTTTACCCTAACCACACTCGGAGGTTGTGAGAGGCTGGTGGTTGTAGTGTAGGGCTGTCACGCCGACAAACCGGCATGTTCCCGGGGCCTAGCATTAGCCAGCTACCGGTATTTTTACGTGTCTATGACAAGATGGAGGCAGCCAGTTAGCTTGAAAGGCTGCGTGTGACGTTCCGTAGCGTTCCCCTCCTCACAGCCGGCGCCTTCGGTTTGACTGTGCGAGGAATAAAACTACAGAAAATAAAACAAAATATAATGTATCCAACTTACTCGTTATACACATTTTAAATCTATTCGGGTGTATATGTGTTCTTGAAGGCTGCTTTGTTTACAGTTAGCTTGATTTTTAGCGATCACGCGCAGCGTACACGGTGAACCCTCGAGGACAAAATATTTGTCCAGATTAAAGTAGTAATCGACCAAAAACATGCACTTTATTTACCAAATGGACATATTTTTAAACGGAACTTATCTGCCGTGTTTCAAGATGCACATTAAAGTGAAAACAAACTCGTACAAATAAAGAAATTAGCTTTTTTTTTGGAGGTAACCGCGTTCTGAACTAACCATGACAGTTTATATTTACGAGTTGGGTTACGACAGGAAAGTGACAAGACGGACAGCAGCTAAGCAATAGCTTTATTATTAAGTTAATGTAGTAATTTTGCTACTAAATGCTATTTCAAGCTCATCTCTTCCGTTACACAAGCTCAGAGCAGATTTGTAGCTCCAGGTAGGGATGTGCGATATGGCATACAATTCATATCACGATATGTATTGTGGTGGGTGGCGGTAACGATATATATCACGATATGTGCATATGGTGTTGTTTTGCCATCATTTGTTTTGAAAACTGCTATACCACAAAATAATCTCAATTAAGAAAGAGTTTTAAAATAATTAACAAACCAAGTCTTTCTTGTAGTGCAAAACAGTGCAAAGGTTATTACATGTAGTTTTATCCATACGTTTTAAACAAACTAATATGTTGTTAACCCCAGTGTTCTCACTTAATAAATGAACAGCAGCAGAGCAGCATTTTACACCGAAACACTTCACCCTCCAACCATCTAGTGGGCGTCTCCTTCCGCGTTAAGGAGAGCTGACACAAAATGGCGACCAGTTTCCTCTGTGCTTTGACCAGAGGGTCTCGCAGTAAAATCACACAACACCGCGTTCTTTTCAGAGATCAGATTTAACCCAGTTTTTTTTTTTTTTTTTTTTTTTTTTTTTTAGCTCAAATGCACTCTCTGAAGCTGATGAAGGAACTTTCGACTAACAATAAAAAAACAACTTTCGACAGAACACAGTGTTTTGCGCATGCGTCCGACTACGAGTACGGCAAGCCGGCCGTAGTTAGCTTGTAGCTTTGCTACTTAGCTCTCGAAGAAATGACTTTATCACCACTTAGGCACTTTTCAACTAAAAGAAAAAGTAACGATTAAATCTGACAACTCTGATTTTACATCAGACACATCATTACTGCAGTTAGCCTCTAGAATACAGATCTCTATCGTAGTCTTATCGTTTCTACTGCGCACCGTGTATATCGCACATTCCAAGCTCAAGGTTACATTTTCCAAAAAAGCATCTTGTTAACAAAATCCCTGATTCTGTAAACTTCTTTAAAATTGGTGTATTCTTTCTGTGCAACATCGTAGCATTTATTTGAATTTTGATGTACTTGATGCCCGTTTATTTGTAGTGTCATACTTTTCAAATGGGGCCCAAACAGTTAACTTTTTTCTTTTCCCAAACTGTGTCTAAGTAGCAACAGCGTTTTACATTTGAAGTTACAGTACAACCAATTACAGAAACGAGCTCTGAGCGTTAATGCAGCAGAGGCTCGTTCTGTATAACAACCCTGTTTCGTAAGGCCTGCAGGACTGCGGTGAATCATATAGATTAATCTGCTGTAAATTACTGTTTTAACCACCAGAGCATTGATTTGAATCACCCTCCATGAGGAATTCTTATAAAATAGGACACAAAATTGAACCGGTAGTTAGTCCTACAGTAGTTTATCTGGTTTTCTGCTATATACACCTTAACACAAGGGTAGTGTGTTTGCAGTCTAATTTTCACAGAGGGATCAATTATGCTGGCAAAATGTAAAATTTGATACTGAAATTTAAAAACAAATACATTAAACCTTCACATCTACCGTCTTATCTTTCTACATGTTTACAGCTGGTCTTAGTTATTCTCTTAAATGTACTGACTGTTTACAAGTCACACTGGTTGATCGAGTTAGCATGTTGAGCGATGTCCAGAATGACCCAACACGTGACTGGTTTCTTGTTTCCAGCAGGATGTGCAAGTGTTCAGATATGAGTGTTATCGTCAGAACTTGTTGTTAAGTAACAATCACACAGTCTGAATGTGCTGACACGCACTCGACTGGTGTGAGTCCTAAACATGAAGTGTATCCCCTGGTTCCACTTACAGATGAAGAGGAAGAGGAGATCTCGGAGAATGAGTCGCCGAAGGTGAAGAAAAAGAAGAAGAAGGCAAAGAAGAGCAGAGAGAGCAAAGGCAGCAAGAGGCGGTCACGCAGAGAGGTAAATGGGTTTTAAGAGAAGGCGTTCTCTTAGAAATAAACTGTTCAGCTGACAGTTTTTGTCATTCGATCAGAGAAAAATCAATCAAAATGTGCTTTTTTTTTTTAAACATTCTTTGCACCAGGAGCTACCTGTCAGCTCACCTGAGCCCATGGACATTGGTGGAGTAGAAGATGTAGAAGATGTTTGCTCTGCCCAGCGCTCCGAGAGCGAGGGCAGCGACTACACTCCAGGACGCAAGAAGAAGAAGAAAGCCAGCAGCGGCAAAGACAAGAAAAGAAACAGCGCCGGGGTTGAGAGAAGCTCTTCCAAAAGGAAAGAACCGGAGCCGGAGGAAGATGAGGAGGACGACGACGATGATTCCTCGGTAAGTGCGTGACAAGAATGTGATCTAAGTATTTGTTTCAAAGAGTTTGACATGTATCGTTTGCATCATAAGCAAACAGAAGTATTCTGTAAACTCCTTTCTAAACAAAAGGCATTTATTTTTTGGGAGATAGTTTCTGCAAATTTAAACTTTATAAACAAGTTGGATATGTTACTTTTTTTTTTTTACAGTTCTTGTGTAAAAGATGAATATTTTGGCTTGTTTATTTTTGCTTCCATTTTGTCGCCCTTTATTGACATAAAGGAAAACCGTGATAAACAAAACTCAAGCAAGAAAGTGCAAATGGGTTTTTATATGGATGTTCATGCAGCTCAGTTGGTCAGGTTAGGTTTATTTGTCACATGCAAATTGTTATAAGGTTAACAAAATGAAATGCTCAAAACGAGAAGAACCGTCTCGACTCGACAAAACAACAACAAAACTACAAAAACAGGGCGCCAACAGTGAAAAAGAAATACATCTACAGCAGCACGGTCCTGTTGGCAGAGCGGTTCTGTTTAGGGATGCGCCGATCCACATTTTTTAACTTCCGATCCGATCTCGATACCTAAATCTGGATATCGACCGATCCAATTCAGATATCATGATCAATATTGATTTTATATGAGGCTGTAATAATCTCCTCTCAAGTACAATTTGTACAAATATATGCATGCATGTCCAAAAAGGCAACTTGAGGTAAGTTTTATTATTGTCGGATAAGTTTTAAAGTTAGAATTAAATTCTGCCAACACAAAACATGTTTTTTTTTTATTCCTAGCTTTAAAGTGGATATTAAAGTGATCAATTTAAGTGATTGTTTAAAGTTTATTTTATATAATTTTTTAAATAAGGTGGAGATAAGAATTGTTTTTTTTCTGCACGTTTTTCATTCAATGTTTTCTTTTTGATGAATTTGTTTTATTTTGTCTTAAATGAATAAATAAATGAATTGAATAAAAAAATTAAATTACTTTAAACATCTGCTAAGTTCGTGGCATAAACCAACACAGACATGTTTTTTAGTATTTTACGTCACTTTAGCTGTTTTTTTTTATTTTTATATATATATATATATATATATAATTTTCTTGTAATTTTCAAATCATGTTTTTTATGATTGTCTACTGTTGTACTGATAAATATCTCTGGAGGGTAAACTGTATCTTGGCTGCAAGTATCAAGCTGTGAAATCCTTTGTTTTCTATTATGATGAAGTTTAGCAACTTCTCTGTAAACATTTGAGCTCCGGGGCTTCAGCGATGTCTTCTTCTTGTTCAATCCGAAGCAGGCAGTCTGATTTCGGTCAGCTGCTCGCAGTCTGCCCCTCCTCAGAGACGGGCAGACTGAACGGGGCAGATTGGACGTGGCTGGACTGGGTCGGGCTGCCTGCTACGGATTCAGCGAGAGGAGCAGACCGCTGAAGCCACGCAGCTTGAACGTCCAACGTAAAACTAACTTTACAGCGGTTTAAAGTGGCGCTATGGCTCTGCATACATTGCACGTTGCTGCATTGCTTTGTGGTGTTTCTAGTGTAAAATACTTCCACACAGCGAACATGTTTACATGAAAAGTTTGTTAGCTGTTAGCCACAGTGCTGCTAACTCAGTCCTCACATTGTAGCTGGCTACAAACTATGAAATGGATTTCCTGAATGTGAGGCGGGTCTTATTACTCTGGGTTCATGAAACACGCCTCCGTTAGGGAAATCCATCCCATAGTTTGAAGCCAACATGCATCATGGATCGGAAATCTCTGCAGGTTGGATCAGAAAGCTCAGATACATAAATTATGCTGGTATCGGAGGCCGATACGGATACTGGATCGGATCGGCCTCATCCCTAGTTCTGTTGGCAGTGAGTTTCTCTTAACAACATAATGTTAACTTATTTTTAAATAAATGAATGTTTCTGTGCAGTGTCCTGAGATGACTTCTGTTGTGACTTGCAGCGAGGTTCGGTTAGCATCGAGGTTCTTTTAGTACCATGGTAGTTTTAGCAATGTGGTTCTGTTAGCAGCATGGTACTGTTAGCAGTGTGGTTCTGTTAGCAGCATGGTACTGTTAGCAGTGTGGTTCTGTTAGCAGCATGGTACTGTTAGCAGTGTGGTTCTGTTAGCAGTAAGGTTCTTTTAACAGCATGGTACTGTTAGCAATGTGGTTCGATTAGCAGTGAGATTGTGTTAGCAGCATGGTACTGTTAGCAGTGTGGTTCTGTTAGCAGTGAGGTTCTTTTAACAGCATGGTTCTGTTAGCAGTGTGATTCTGTTACCAGCATGGTACTGTTAGCAGTGTGGTTCTGTTAGCAGTGTGGTTCTGTTAGCAGTGAGGTTCTTTTAACAGCATGGTACTGTTAGCAGTGTGGTTCTGTTAGCAGTGAGGTTCTTTTAGCAGCATGGTACTGTTAGCAGTGTGGTTCTGTTAGCAGCATGGTACTGTTAGCAGTGTGGTTCTGTTAGCAGTGAGGTTCTTTTAGCAGCATGGTACTGTTAGCAGTGTGATTCTGTTAACAGCATGGTTCTGTTAGCAGTGTGGTTCTGTTAACAGCTTGGTACTGTTAGCAGTGAGGTTCTGTTAGCAGCATGGTACTGTTAACAGCATGGTTCTGTTAGCAGTGTGGTTCTGTTAACAGCATGGTTCTGTTAGCAGTGTGGTTCTGTTAACAGCTTGGTACTGTTAGCAGTGTGGTTCTGCTAGCAGCGTGGTACTGTTAGCAGTGTGGTTCTGTTAGCAGCGTGGTCTTGTTAGCAGCGTTGGGTCTTGTTAGCAGGTCCTGTTGGCAGCATGATTATGATGATAACGACTGCGGCAGCTGCCCTCCCAGACTGCCCTCCAGAACCGGGTCTGGCAGACAGAGAATATCCAAGGTTTCCCCTCGGAACCGAATGGGTCCGTAGAGTTTGGGCCGTGGCGGCCGGAGCCCGAGGCTGGAATAAGGCCGGAAACTGGACCGGTTCAAAGCTGAGATGTTCTGGAAGCTAGATTCACATGCAGATTGTCCTCTCACTCCTCACAAGAGGTTCGTTAGGGCCTCTGTTAGTCTGACTCGCAGACGGGGCACTCTGGACACATGAATGAAGGTCTTTTCTCTATTTTTATCAATGAAGTTTTATCTATCTTTATCTTGATTGAAGTGAAAATGACTTGGTGTCAGGCCTAAAGTTGCATTACAGGTTTTTAAAAGCTGAAATCTGAGACCTCTTCAAACAGTTTATAGTTGTACCTCGAATTTATCAAAATTTGTATTTTCAAGGAGTTCAGATGTTAAACATTTGAGTTGTCTGTCACTAAAACTGACTGTTCTGTTGGAAAACACATGTTCGTATCCATCCTTCCTGTGTTTCATGAAGAGGACCTCTTGACGGCGTACCTGTAATGGAGTCTTGTGGTTTGACTAACGTGTGTGATCTGAGCGATGCTGGAACAAAAGAACTGTCTGGTGGATTCAGGAGCCCAGCGGCCAATAGGGGGCCTCACTGTTAATGATTTTTATGCAAGGGGGTGGCTTGGCGTGTGTAAGTGTGCAAGTGTGTCTGTGCACAAGTTGAAAACGGGTGTGTAAGATTTACTTATAATGTGCTGTTTCCATGGCAATCCTAGTGCAGCACCACACTGCACACTTGACCCTTTTTCTTTTTGCTTAGATAAATGCATTTTAATTCAATGCCACTTTGTTTGTTGCTCCAGTCTGCAGCCTGTTGTTAAAACTCAACGTTGTAAAGTAGCTTTGATTAAAGAAAGGAGCTGCTTTTTTTGTTTTATCTGGTTCTAGGACAGACTGACATGAACTTCTCTCCACCAGCCAAAGATCTTAAAACTTTAATGAGCTCCACTTCAAAGTAAACTCATTTATCTATAATAAAAACAGCAATATACACTCAAAGCAGTTATTTTGTAGCGAGTCCATGAACGTTAAAATGTTGACTTTAGCTTCTTAATTGATAAAATGTCTAACTCAGTGGTTTGTGAAATAGTTTTTTCTCCATTGTTTGATGCACAAAACAGTTTGCAGGTAGTTTAAATATATATATATATATTTTTAACCTTGTTCTAGTTGGAGACAGACGAATGTATCAGCCACTTTTAAAAATCTTTAATAAACCATGCAGCAGTGCGTGATTACTGGTAATCAGTTACCAAGTAAGAAATTGATAGACATGCAGCAGCTGCTATGACCAGTAGCCCCACTTTAGTTTTTTTAATCAAGCATGCTTTACGGTGCATTATTTTTAAGCACATAAGTTATTCTAAGAATTGTAAAATGCATGTTTATTAGTCTAACCAAGTGGTTAGATTTTTATACCTGGATTATTGAGCACGCATCAGGACATGCTTACTAGGTTAAGCAGTTATTGGATTATTTTGGTTAATAAAAATTGGATAATGGCCATAAATATAAGATTGGTGTTGTGTATTGGCTATTGGCTGCCCTGATTTCCAAAGATTGATATTGGCCATCGGAAAAACATGTAAAATTACTAAAACAGGGTTTTATAACAGTATCAGATATGTACAGAAAAGTGTGCATTTTTCTACAATTGGGGATAAATAGCTTAACGTTCAACATTTATTTATTTGTAATAGTGAAGAATATGAAAGTTTAATATGATGTGACATAAAAATCAGCAAAGTATCAATATGAAAAAGCTGTTCTTGATAACTATTAGAGTAACTGTACAGGCAGTGAACTGATTCAAATATCACAAAGCAATTTGGTGTAATTGCCTTTAGAAACATGCTGGTCAGTGTCAATGACGGAAGTGTTTTCCTGCTCGCTGGATTCTAATTTTGGAGGCTCTTCACTGGCTACTTGAAGCTCTCAGCCATGCAGATGTGCTCTGATGAAGCAAATCCAGTCATCACAGAAAAAGGCTGTTATTCCACATGCAAAACGGGCATCTGTGGTATAACTTATTTTGTTTCTTGTGTGGTGAAATAATGCCTTAAACCCCTCAGGAAGAGGCCGTTTTATGTAAGAACTGGGTCTTCGTAATGCTCGGACACAAAGCAGAGCTTGTTTTTAAGCCTTACTGCCTGGTTTGATCTAACAGACTGACAGGAAGTCACACATGCTCCCATATGTTGGTCCATCAGGATGTGTGTGATCACTCAGTGCATCATGACTGCAGCAGCTTCTTTTGTGAGACTGGGCTTAAGCACATCTGGATCCAGCAGAGATCTACACGTGTTCGGTCTGGCTTTACTGCTCTGGGTTCTCAATTCAGTCCACTTCATCAGATTTAGTCTTCAGTTACAACTTTTGAGTGACTAGACGGGTGAAGGTTCTGTAGATTCGGATACCATCGCCCTTGTGTTTTTTCTACTCTGGGAGTGAGCTGTTTGTGGGATTCAGTTTGGTTTGGTGGCTCCTCAGATTGAAGAAGTCCTTCGGATGAAGGACGGAACGTCTCAGCAAAAAAACACGAAAACATCCAGATGGTCTGACTGGACATTGCTGGATTTGTACCTGGATTATTGAGCATGAACTCTTGAATGTCCTTAAGTCATTTAAGATTTATCACCTATAGTACCAAAAGATTATTGCAAAGGGTAAAAAAAAAAAAAAAGGTAAAAAAAATCTGTAATCGATCACCACCAGAGGCAGCAAGGCAGTAATGGTGTTTCCCAGTGTCTTATGTGTCAGAATGTCTGTCCCATTAGCAAAATATCTCAAGAATCAAACCAGTCAGGCTGTACATCAACGGCTAAATGCCTTTTGGATACGACCCAATTCAAAATGGCTGCTACTGTTGATTGGGGAAAAAATATAACAATTCCTATAATGAAGCTAATTTTACAAATATTGAGCTAAGATTAGGCGGTGTAGCTAACATCACTTTAATCACAGCACATTGTGGAGATCATTGCTTCCAAGTCTTGACATTAACTGTTGGAGTCAACCCACTTTGTTAGTAAAATATCTCTAACTATTGTACATATTTCAGTGTAACTCTTAAGGAAGCAATCATTGGATTTACATCTACACCTGAATAAGTTTTGGAGTTGCCACATTCAAGATGGCTGCCACAGCTAATTGACTTTTTTTTTTTTTTATTTAACCTTCACTTGTACAAGTAGTCTCGTTGAGTCACTCATTTTTAAGAGAGACCCGTTTACATATTTGTGTTAATCTACCAGGGTTTTATTTATTTTATTTATTGATATTTTTGTGGTCCAAATTAATTAATATTAATAATAATAATAATGAATTTAATTTGTAATGCACTTTTCATTAACAAAAATTTCAAAGTGATACAAAGTGCAACTAAAATCAGTGATAAAATCAAGTGGAGGCAGAATGGACTTGCTTAAAAAGTAAAGTATTTAAGCTTTATTTTGCTGTTTATTTTAATTGTGCTGACACAGCTAAACAAAAGTTTCAGTCAGCCTGGGCTCTTATTTACCTGTTTGGTGATTAAAACAACACAAAGCTTGATCTGTATCCCAAGTAAATTATTTTTAAATTTTTCACGGACTTATTTGTGTATTCCACTTAAACATCACTGAACAATTTCACTTCTCTGTCTGACTTTAAGTTTCGTTGTTTTGTTGCTTCTTGTAGGAGCCAAAGTCTTCGTCTCAGCTGCTGGACGACTGGGGCATGGAGGATATCGACCACATCTTCACCGAGGAAGACTATCGCTCTCTGACCAACTACAAGGCTTTCAGCCAGTTTGTCAGGTAGACTCCTGCTGCAAGTTAACAGAAATATTCCGTTGTTTCCGTTTCATTTACGATATTCCATCTTTATCCGACCCACAGACCACTTATCGCAGCCAAGAACCCCAAGATCGCTGTGTCAAAGATGATGATGGTTCTTGGTGCAAAGTGGCGTGAGTTCAGCACCAACAACCCCCTGAGAGGAGCGGCTGCTGCTAACGCTGCGCTAGCCACCGCCAACGTACCGGCTGCTGTCGACAGCATGGTGGCAGAGGTTGTCCCCGTAGCAGCTCCGGCACCACCGGTCCCTGCAGAGCCTCTGCAGACCCCTGCACCACCTATTCGCAAGGCCAAGACCAAGGAAGGCAAAGGTGCTGTGGACGCATAGAGTCAAATAGATGGAGGCAACACTTTCATGTTTCCAGCCTTACGATCTTCCCTGAATCTTTTTGCAGGACCCAACGCTCGCAAGAAGTCCAAACCTGCTCCCAAGCCACAAGAGAAGAAGAATAACGTCAAAACTAAGAAGGTCGCTCCTTTAAAAATCAAACTGGGAGGCTTCAACAGCAAGAGGAAACGCTCATCGGTACATTTTTCCTTGTTTTGCGTTCACAGTATAAACGTAAAGCAGGCGTACGAGAGACGTCTCTTACTACAAGTTGGTGTTTGTTTCTGGTGTGCGCAGAGCGAAGAGGACGAGCCCGACGTCGACAGCGACTTTGAGAACGGCAGCATCCACAGCGTCTCCGTGTCGGAGAGTTCAAACAGCCGCAGCAGCCGCAGCAAGAAGAAGCCCTCCAAGAACAAACCCAAAAAGAAAAAGGGTATCTTGTTTTTAGCACTTTAGCCCAGTGGTTCCCAGTTCTGGTCCTCGAGGAACACCAACCTGCGTGTTTTAGTTGTTCCACCTGGTTCAGTGACTTAATTACTTCAAGTTCTGCAGAAGCCTGTTGAATCACCTGATCATTCAAATCAGCTGTGTCAAAGCAGGGAAACAAGTAAAAGATGCAGGAGGGTGTTCCTCAAGGACCAGGGTTGGGAACCACTACTTTATATGTGTGTTGGGAAGTGTTAGCTGCCAGGAAACCCAGTTTATTAAAGATTACAAGTTAAAGTGTCAGCAGATAACGGTAACGCCTGAGTCAAAGGGTTGGATGGATGAGCATGAGGTGAACAGGCACGTTAGTCACTATAACCGAGTCAGTTGAGTGTAGTGAATCGTCTTCTTCACAAGATCAATGGATCGTTGGTGGGTTCACATCAGCAGCCAAAGAGTTATAGTCCCAACCATGACGTGGCTGATTCACTGGAAATCCTTTTTTCTTTCCGACGTTAAATTCACGTGCATTAGTCTCAAAAAGCTAACGGCGTCTGACAAAAGGCGACAAATTCACATCATTATTTCAGCTTTTTTATATCTTAAAGAAAATCTGCAGATTTGACTAAATGTGGGTCACAAGATGTGATTTGCTAAGACTTTTGTCTCGCCATCAGAAGCAGAAGATGGTGACGGATACGAGACGGACCACCAGGACTACTGTGAGGTCTGCCAGCAGGGTGGGGAGATCATCCTGTGCGACACCTGCCCCAGGGCGTACCACATGGTCTGCCTGGACCCCGACATGGAGAAGGCGCCTGAGGGCACCTGGAGCTGCCCGCACTGCGTAAGAAACGAGAAGTTCAGCTTCTTAGACACCAAAAGAACAACAGCTGAAGAGGAAACTGATCTTTCTCTGCATCCCAGGAGAAGGAGGGCATCCAGTGGGAAGCCCGAGAAGACGCGTCCGAGGGAGAGGAGGACAACGGCGAGGCGGGCGAGATGGAGGAGGACGACCACCACATGGAGTTCTGCAGAGTTTGTAAAGACGGAGGAGAGCTCCTCTGCTGCGACTCGTGTCCCTCGTCATACCACATCCACTGCCTCAACCCGCCGCTCCCAGAGATCCCCAACGGAGAGTGGATCTGCCCCCGCTGCACGGTGAGCGGGGTGGGGGTCTGAGTCGAACGTGATGAATAACAAAAGTGATAAATAAAACCCTCCTCCTGCCTTTCAGTGTCCACCTCTAACGAGGAAGGTACAGAAGATCTTAACGTGGCGATGGGGAGACCCTCCTCCTCCAACACCTGTGCCCCGCCCCCCAGACCTCCCGGCTGATGAGCCTGACCCCCCTCCACTGGCAGGACGGTCTGAGAGGGAGTTCTTTGCCAAATGGTCCAACCTGTCCTACTGGCATTGCTCCTGGGTCACAGAGCTGCAGGTGGGAACCTCTACAACACAAAAACAGTCACATTTCTTTTAACTTAAAAAAAAAAAAAAGTTTGCTCTGATTTTTATTTTATTTAAACTTTTATTTTACCAAGAAAGAAATCCTTTGAGATCATGAATTACAAGGACGTCCTTGTACACGCCCTTCACGAGTCCTCTTTAATGATCCTCTGTGCAGCTGGAGATTTACTGCCAGGTGATGTTCAGGAACTACCAGAGGAAGAACGACATGGACGAGCCGCCGCCCATCGACTTCTTAGATGGAGAGGAGGACAAGTTCTTGAAGAGGAAACACAAGGATCCCATGTATGCTCAGCTGGAGGAGAAGTACCTCCGCTTTGGAATCAAGATGGAGTGGCTGTTGATCCACCGCATCCTGAACCACAGGTCAGACATCTCAAACATCCACAAACCTTTCCTGTTCAGAAGGAATTCCCCGAGTCACAACTCCACTTTTCCATTGAAAGACAAAGCTTTAATAAATCAGATGATATTTATGAGCAGACATGGCCAGCATGTTGATGGATACAGATCTATTGAAAATGTTCACAGTGATTAAATCACATATTTTGTCCAGGGAGTTTGGTCTAAAGTGAAAATGACACAAGAAGTTCAGTGTTTTTCTGTTGCCTTTCCAGTGTGGACAGGAAGAACAACGTCCACTATCTGATCAAGTGGCGAGAGCTGCCGTACGACCAGGCGACCTGGGAGTTCGAGGACATGGACATACCCGAGTTTGACCCGTACAAGCAGCAGTACTGGAACCACAGGTGGGATCTGTTCAGCTCAGTCCTGGACGGACGACAGCGGCTTTATTGAAACGGTGGTTCACTAACTGCTTCAAACTTCTGCTTGTTCAGGGAGCTGATAATGGGAGACGACGGCAGGCCAGGGAAGAAGCTCAAGGTGAAGGCAAGGGGGGTGAAGCGGCCGGAGAGACCTCCCGAGAACCCGGTGGTGGATGTAAGTGAACAGATTAAACTGCTGAAAGTTCCCTCCTTTTTTTTTTTTTTTTTTACCAAATGCACAGAAACTGTTCTGAGTCGCCTGAAAACGTGTTCTGAATCTCTTCCTGACTTCTGGTTGCAGCCGACCATTAAATTTGATCGTCAGCCGGACTACCTGGACAGCACAGGGGGGACCCTGCACCCCTACCAGCTGGAGGGTCTTAACTGGCTGCGGTTCTCCTGGGCTCAGGGCACCGACACCATCCTGGCTGATGAGATGGGTTTGGGAAAGACGGTCCAGACGGCTGTTTTCCTCTACTCGCTGTATAAAGAGGTGAGACGCTGGACTGACTCGGGAGAAGTTGGGCCACATATACCAAAACTGTTGTTAGTTTTGAGTGGATATTTTCATTAAATGCTACTTTTGATCTAGCTTGATGGGAATTTTAGCTCCAATTGTAAATAAGAAAACAAGTTAGGTCTTAAATTTTGTTCTTGTCAGCATTTTTATTGAGTTTATTAACATTTATTTAAGGTAAAAACTTAATTTCAGCTCCTAATTCGGTTTTGGTTCTCAGTTTTTTATTCCAGCCCATGTTTTGTAAGAAGCTTTGTGTTGTGCGTGTGCGTCGCTGTTGTTCTGTTGGTCAGGTGGCATCCAGCCATTTTGTACAAGTGAGTTGATTCTGACGACATTAAGTTGGATCTGGAAACAATCAGACAGGTTTCACGTGTGCAGCTGCTGCCACCTTAAGGTGGGAGGTCAGAATGCACTTCCTGCTAAAACCACAAATCCTGTAGCTGGAAGTGATGTTTTTAAAACTCATGTTATTCTGTGGTTGGTGTCTCTACGGGGCAGAAACCAGCCTTCAAGCTGACGAGGCACAACCCTGGACTGAGACACCGAAAGTCTTGAAAGTCTCACTTTGTGTTTCTTTTTTTTATGTTGGTGTCGTCACGGTTGCACATACAGAAAAGACAAAAATCATTCAAATCGTCTCGACTTCCTTCAAACAGTGGGCTTACTGCATCAGCCGTCTGCAACAGTCTGTAAATCAGGTCACTCAGTAGTAGGGGTGTAACGGTACGCTCAAATCACATTTTGGTTCGGTTCATTTTCGGTACCAAAAAAAAAAAAAAAAAAAGGCCAAAATGAAGAACTAAAAAATGTTTATTTTGAAAATATGCCAAGTAAACAGTACGTTTGTATAAAAATAAATAAAAGCGACCCATTTGGATGATATTTTAAATAAAAGGCACTCTTTACAATAAATAAACTATACTAACAATAATAACAATCTTAATAAATACAATAAGAGTCAGAACCAGAACAATAAGCAGCAAGTTTACAATCTAACTAATCAAGTTTTAAGTTTTTGACCAAAAAGACCAACTTGTCCACATTTTCTGCCAAAAGCTCAGATCTAGTTGCAGTGACATCATCTCCAGCAGTGGAGGAAACCGCTCATGAACAACAGCAGGAATAGAGAGGTAGAGCTTTGATAATGTTGCAGCGTGGCTGTTTGGCCTCATTATTAGTCACAACCTCTTGGACCTGGAAAAGTTCAGACTTCACTCGTCACAGATTCTTAGCTGGAGGTGATCTCTGGTGGATTTCCCTGAAGAGGAAGAAGACTCAGCTGCTATCTGTCCCAGACTGGAAATAAAACAAAGAGGTAAAAAAACAAGTTAAGTTAATTAGATAATAATAATAATAATAAAATAATACCTCTTCTTGAACGGTTGTTATGAGGTGGTTGAATCTTTCGTTTATCATCATCAGGACTTTAATCTGGTCCAGGGCTTGTTGACGATCAGTTTTATCTTTTCATAAAGTGCTGCTACAACTTTGTGGCTGAAGTGTTGACGTGATGTCGTATCGGGGCTCAATAACTTTAAAGCCGGCGCATCAACAACATTCGGACGTAGATCCAGAGCTTTAAAAACTCCTGCAGCTTGTGCTGTTGCTCTGGACCGATCTGAATTACCTGATGAAGGTTGTTTAAATGCTGCTGTTATCGCTCTTTGCACCAACTGTAGAAGAGACGTTCACGTTCGGATGATGCCGTTCGACGTGTCGCTGCTGCAGATCCAATCTCCGTGAAACAACGTCGACACACCGCTTTGGATTTGTTCACTTGTCTTTTAACAAGAAACACATAATGTTCCCCAACAGGAGACCGCAACGACATGCTAGAATGCTAATGCTAGCGTGCTGCAAGATAATGGCGCCGTGCTGAAACACGCTTAGGAACTTTAGTTCCGTGGCGCGTAATCTGTCGTTAATAAAATTTAATTAATGAAAAAATAACCGAAACGATACACACGTGAACCGAACGTCCGTACCGAAACGGTTCAGTACACCCACGTGCACCGTTACACCCCTACTTGGTAGTGATGATGGTTCTGGTTAAATTTCAACATATTTCTTTAACGGGTTTGTTCATATATTTAGTGTTGGTCTTAATCGAACAATATGTTTGCCAGTAATCGATGAGGTGGTGTTACGTTTCTGTAAAATATTGAGCCACAATTCCTCTGATATTGTCAAATGAGGTGACCAGACCAATAATGAACGGGCTAATGAGATGATTCAAAATTAGGGAAATGTATTTTGTGATTTATATATTTTTGCAAGCAACGGCAAGAATTTATAAATGAGGAAAAGTCACGTTTATCTTTGCTTCTTTTGGATTATTGTTTTCACATTTTTGAACATCTGTTTTCTTTTGATTGTGACATCACAACATGTGTTTTAATGGTGAGTGCAAAGCTGCGAGAAACACGGTGGTACTTAATCAGAATTTTGTGTTCAGTATCAGCAGTTTGTGGGCGGCTGTGGCTGAGTGGTTAGAGCAGTCGTCCTCCAATGGGAGAGCTGGGGGTTCAATTCCACCAGCAGTCACATGCCCAAGTGTCCCTGAGCAAGACACTGAACCCCTCATTGCCTCCAGTGTGTGTCCCATCAGTGTATGAATGTGATCTAAAGCTCTGATTAGTCTATAGAGTGATTTTTTTTTTTTTTGTATAGATATAGTAAAGTTGTGTATGAATGGGTAAATGAGGCACAGATTATGTTGTAAAGTGCTTTGAATATCTCGATCAGATAGAAAGGCGCTGGGGTTGGGTGATATGGATCAAAATTAATATCGATATTTTTTAGATGGATGGCGATATACGATATATCGATTTTTTTTCTTCCATAAAGTAATAACAAAATATATTTCTGAGTCAAAGCTTTGTCACACAGGCACCTTTATTAACAAACGGCTATAACTGTACAAAATAAATGTCTCAAAAATAAAACAAGTTTTTTTTTTCCCTTGTAACACAGCTGCGCATTTAAAGTTTAAACAGAAAACGTGCAGAGCAAACGCAACGAAAGACTGACGCTCTTTAAAAAGTCTGATTCTAATGAAGTGTATTCATTCAACCTTTATTAACAAAAACACCACGTTGTCGTGTAATTTGTTTGTTTACTGAGCTCGGTTCTGTTTGGTTATGGCTTGTTTTTTTCTGAATTTCATGGTTCCTATGCTCTTGAACGCACCGCTCTGTGTAAAGTGCCGTGCTGCGCATTGGAGATTTTTCTCTCCTGACACCGATGGAGCCTTGCTGTTTGAGCTTCTCTGTTTGCTCTTTACTGGTTACTGCTGTGTGTAAATACCAGAAGAAACACAGTAAATAAACCGCCCTAAGCTGGTTATCTGTCTCCTGTGTCGTTTAATGAGAAGACGACTTCATACGTTGCCGCTCTAAACCAGTTCATTAACACCAAACCTCTCCTTTGTAGCAGCTGCCCAGTCATTTTAACGCCTGTCAGGAATTTCATCCATGTCACCAGAGCGTCTCCACTGTGAACAAAGACCTCTTGTGACGATTGATATCTGCATATGCATCTTAGCTTGTTCACAGTAGGAGCTGCAGCAGCAGGAGGGGGGGGGGGAGCGGGTGGGGGCTGGGTTTGTATTCAGTGAGGGAGAGGAGGGGCCGCGACGCGTGAAGGTGCAGACTGGGAGAAAAACTGGTGGATTTTCAAGTATAATTATAACCACGTAGCGTATGAGACCGTATCGTTTTATATCGATATCGTCTCTTTTTATATCGCGTATGAAATTATATCGATATTTTTAAAATATCTATATCGCCCAGCCCTAAAAGGCGCTACACAAGTACAGTCCATTTACCATTTTGTCAGTTAAACAGCAGCTGGTTCCAGCTTGAATTAAATGTTTGTTTGATTGTACGCTTGGCCTCGGTTCAATAAGAAATTAAAAAAATTGTAAATATTGTAAGATAATTTTATAATTCTATTTAGAAAGTGGTCAAATGAATCTGGATTTATTTAGTGAAAAAACCTCGACTTGAATCAATTTTATTACATTCACCGACGTGTATGCTCCGTTTGTTTATATAATTAGAAATGCGTAAAAATATGTTTTAGCAATATATCGATAAATTATTATATATTGTTGTATTTGCAATTAGACGTTTTGCTTTCTAAATTGTTTAAGTATTAAAGTTCTTTACAAGTAATTGATGCAGATCAGCACGCTGTAATACAGCTGTTACAAACGTCTTTTTACTGACAGATGTTTACGTGTTACTGTGAAGGAGTTACACTGGTTCCCTCTGTCCACCTTCAGGGCCACTCCAAGGGGCCGTTTCTGGTCAGCGCTCCTCTGTCCACCATCATTAACTGGGAGCGGGAGTTTGAGATGTGGGCTCCCGACATGTACGTGGTGACGTACGTCGGTGACAAAGACAGCCGAGCCATCATCAGGGAGAACGAGTTCTCCTTTGAGGACAACGCCATCCGAGCAGGGAAGAGGGCGTCCAGGATGAAGGTAAAAGGAGACCACGGTGTAGAAATCAGGAACTGAAGTTCTAGAAAAAAGGTTTAAACTTGCACATCGCCGGTTCCGTTTTCTCCCAACAGAAAGACTCGTCTATCAAGTTCCACGTTCTGCTGACGTCGTACGAGCTGATCACCATCGACATGGCCGCCCTGGGTTCTATAGACTGGGCATGCCTGGTGGTGGACGAGGCCCACAGGCTGAAGAACAACCAGTCCAAGGTAAGCTCAAAACTTCACCCACGTTCAAACCAGTCCCTGGAACTGGCCAGTTTGTGCCAAAGGGCCAATAAAATTCAGCCTCCACTAAAATTTAAGCTTTTTATCCATTTTTCTAGAATATATTTAACCTTCTGCTTTATTTTCCTAATTGTCGTTGCTTGCTTGACTTTATTCAAACAGTTGTGAATGTTTTTGATGTAACGACACGTGTAGCTGTGCTCAACCTGAACCCTTTGTAAACATGTGTGTTTGTGTGCACCGTCTTCAGTTTTTCCGGGTGTTGAACAACTACCCTCTGCAGCACAAACTGCTGCTGACTGGAACGCCTCTGCAGAACAACCTGGAGGAGCTTTTCCACCTGCTCAACTTCCTCACGCCCGAGAGGTTCAGGTACGTACGGTGGAGAATCCCTCGTGTTCTTCGTTTGTTCGGAGGGCAGCTATAAAAATATATCTTTTTATTAACATCTTTGTTTCATGCGGCAGGACGAATAAAAGCATGACTTTAACCTGTTCTGCTTTGTTCCAGGAACAATTTTTTGTGTTCAAGATTTATCACTTTAGTTTTCTCTCAGTTTCTTTAGTTTTTAGTGGCTTTCAACAGCTTTACGGTTAAAATGTTCCAGTTTTTTTAAACCGTTAATAAATAGGCTGTAGATTCATTTAGTAAAAGCTGTTTTTTTTATTATTTTATACCCTTAAAGCTTTGTCTGGGTGTTTTGATCAGATGATTTATGTGTTTTAATCTAATGAGTGCCAGAAACTAACTCTGAGCACATTATACGTAATTCCTACTTACAACTCATCTCTTCAGTTTGGCTTTGACACCACGTGAGATGTTGATTTTAGTTCATCGTACAAAAATAAAAAAGTCGTATTGTGCTGTTCTTTTCATGCTGTTGAGTTACTTCTTATTGTCTTTTATTCATCGTTTTGTACAGTACACATGAATGAAGTTGGCTGGACTGGATTTAATCTCATTCAGCTGACACTTATGTGAAAACCTCGCAGGAGCTTTACAAATATTTACATTACTCTTTGAAAAAAAAAAACTTCAGGAATCAATTGTGTTGCCATAAAGGTCCCAATTAAGAACTAAACTTGAGCAGGAAACCATGAAATGTAAGTTTACTCAGAAATAAGAGAAAACTCCAACCGTTAGAGCACCAAGCATCTCAGGGGCTGCAAGAATAACCTCGCCCGTTTTGTGTTTTTATCTGCAGCAAATTGGAGGTTTTCCTGGAGGAGTTTGCTGATATCGCAAAAGAAGACCAGATCAAGAAGCTGCACGACATGCTGGGTCCGCACATGCTCAGAAGGTTGAAGGCCGACGTCTTTAAACACATGCCGTCCAAGACCGAGCTCATCGTTCGAGTGGAGCTCAGCCCCATGCAGAAGTGAGTGAAGCTTTGCTGCTGAAACGAGAAACCAGGAAAAATGCCAACGCTAACCCTGGATGCCGCTGCTTTTTGTTGGCAGGAAATACTACAAATTCATCTTGACGAGAAACTTTGAGGCCCTCAACACAAAAGGAGGTGGAAACCAGGTTTCACTGCTGAACGTCGTCATGGACCTCAAGAAGTGCTGCAACCACCCCTACCTGTTCCCTGGAGCCGCCATGGTACGAGCCAGACGCCTGGCACGAATAAACCTGTCACCATAACTAATTTTGCAGGGCGATTAATCGTCTCTGAAATTATTGCGATAAACGATAATATTGTTTGAAATTTAATCATTAGTAATTATTGCCAAATTTAAGAAGAAATGTTAACGGCCTGTTAACTTCTCAGCTTAGCTGCTTTTAACGATCCGCAAAGGTGATTTTGGACGGTTAAAACAGATTTTAAAGAGAAAGGGAGGAGTTACCGGAGTTGAGCCTTTTGTCGTCCAGTGTCTTCAGTAGAAAGAGAGACACGAAGAAACGACAAAGCCGATAAATGAAAATGAGGTCGATGATTTTTTATTTTTTGATAATTGTTTATCGCGACAGGCCTAGGCAGGACCCACTAGCGGCTTATTTATCTATTTGTTTTATTCCATCTTTATTTCAGTTAAACACTCTTAAAATTTGAGTTTTGTTTGGTCACTTCAATCAGGAAGCTCCCAAGATGCCCAACGGGATGTACGATGGGAACGCTCTCACAAAGTCTTCTGGGAAGCTGCTGTTGCTGCAGAAGATGATGAGGAAGCTGAAGGAGGGAGGACACCGAGTGCTGATTTTCTCTCAGGTCAGGAACTTTATTAAAACCATTGCTTTAAAACAAAAGTTGTCTAAACACGTTTTTGTCTTCTTAACGAGTCCTTGTCTGTTCTGCCGGCAGATGACCAAAATGTTGGATCTGCTGGAGGACTTCCTTGAGAACGAGGGGTACAAATATGAGAGGATTGATGGAGGGATCACTGGAGGGATGAGACAAGAAGCTATCGATCGTTTTAACGGTGATCTTGTCTCTTTTGATTCTGCTTTTTCTATTTTGAAGCATCGTTTTTAATCCTGTCCTCTTAAAAAAACACCACATTTACTGTTTAAATCTTTCTCCCTCAGCTCCGGGTGCTCAGCAGTTTGCCTTCTTGCTCTCGACGAGAGCTGGAGGTTTGGGCATCAATCTGGCCACAGCCGACACGGTCATCATTTATGACTCTGACTGGAATCCTCACAACGACATCCAGGTACAAAACAACTTGTTTTTTTAAATGATAAAAAAGGTGGTTAAATAATGTTATTTAAGTTTTTTCCCTCGTGTTCAGGCCTTCAGCAGAGCTCATCGTATCGGTCAAAACAGAAAAGTCATGATCTACCGGTTCGTCACTAAGGCCTCAGTGGAGGAGAGGATTACTCAGGTAGATGTTGTATTTGGGTTTTTACCGTCACCTAAAGCAGAAAAAACAAACCTGGGATTTATTTTTAGTTTTACTGCAGCCACGTCTAGAATCAAACAGCAGCTCATCCCATAACACCGAGCTTTTCTTTTATTGTGTCTCTGTGTCAGGTTGCCAAAAAGAAGATGATGCTCACTCACCTGGTGGTCCGACCTGGTCTCGGATCCAAGACCGGCTCCATGTCCAAACAGGAGCTGGACGACATTCTCAAGTTTGGAACTGAGGCGCTCTTTAAGGACGAGGGAGAAGGTGAGGAAGGGTTCATCTACAACAGTAAAGACTAAAAGAAAAAGAACCGCATCAGCGCGTTTGTGCTTCACCAGGTGAGAACAAGGAGGAGGACAGCAGCATCATTCACTACGACGACAAAGCCATCGACCGACTGCTGGACAGGAACCAGGACGCCACAGACGACACGGAGCTGCAGAGCATGAACGAGTACCTGAGCTCCTTCAAAGTTGCCCAGTATGTGGTGAAAGACGAGGAGGAGGAGGTGAGACTGGGACCAGCTGCAGTTCAATCACATCTTTTTAATTTATTTTTAATTCTCAAACTGTTCTACTGTCTGTCGCTCAGGAGGAAGAGGTGCAGCGGGAGATCATCAAGCAGGAGGAGAGCGTCGATCCCGATTACTGGGAGAAGCTGCTGCGGCACCATTACGAGCAGCAACAGGAGGATCTGGCCCGAAACCTGGGCAAAGGAAAACGGATCCGCAAGCAGGTCAACTACAACGACGGCTCGCAGGAAGACAGAGGTCCGTCATTTCCTGTCATTTGTTTCCAATAATTCAAACAACCAGTCATATTTTAGTTGTTTTACTGCATCAAAATAATAAACGTCCTCCGTTTTGTTTGTGCCTGACAGCTGATTGGCAGGACGACCAATCAGACGGCCAATCGGATTACTCCGTGGCTTCTGAGGAGGCTGACGAGGACTTCGACGAGAGATCAGAAGGTGAGAGCCACTTTGTTTTTATTTCTTTTACTTTCGGTCCTTTAGTAGCTCCCGGCCAAGTTCTAACCCAAAGTATAAATCTCCTTTCATTTCCAAAGTTTGAAGTAATAATTTAGATTATTTGTATTTGAACGCTTCAGTTCTGTGGAAACAAAATGTATTTAAATCGTAATAAGATTTTTGTGGTTTCGTATTCTGCAGCCAACTCTCGCAGGCCGAACAGGAAGGGCCTGAGGAATGACAAAGACAAACCACTGCCCCCCCTGCTGGCCAGGGTGGGAGGCAACATTGAGGTGAGGGGCTCTGCTCCTGTTTAAAGCCAAATAATAATAATTAATTCTGCAGATTATCTGCCTGTAAGGACAGAGTTATCAGACGTTTTATGGTTTTCTTGTTTCCAGGTGTTGGGTTTCAACTCTCGGCAGAGGAAGGCCTTCCTGAATGCAGTGATGCGTTATGGGATGCCTCCCCAGGATGCCTTCACCACCCAGTGGCTGGTCCGGGACCTGCGAGGCAAATCAGAGAAAGAGTTCAAGTAAGTGGAAGTTCATCTTCTTTCCAGATGTCATACCCACGTTTTCCCGACGCCTTTCATTCCTCTCTCTTCCTCAGGGCCTATGTCTCCTTGTTCATGCGTCACCTGTGTGAACCTGGAGCGGACGGCGCCGAAACCTTCGCAGACGGCGTCCCCAGAGAAGGGTTGTCACGGCAACATGTCCTCACGCGCATCGGCGTTATGTCACTTATACGTAAAAAGGTGAAACTTGGATTTTGCTGTTCTTGCGTTCAGTTTTGTTAGTCAAGTTACGATTTAAAAAGATGACACAAAAAGACCAAACAAAGTAAAAGGAAGACGTTAAAGTAGATAATCTGACAAAATGTATATATTTTTTTAAATAAAAGTACATTTTAAAACAGAATTGATTTATTAGCGGAAGCAGCAAATATTTTCAGTGACCAAGAACAGTTAGCTGAATGTTTTAATAGAAAAGCGTGATTATTATTTCTGTAACTGGAGACAGTTTCATCTTTAATGGATGTGGAAAAAACCAGTCAAGATTGTTGCTGACCAATAAGACAGACCAGCATGAGATAAATCAAACAAGGTTTTGTGGTTTAAAAATGTCTAAACAAGAAGTCTTAAGATATAAACTTGTTAAATATTACCCATCGGTTATCGTCTTGAACTGAATGGTTGTGGTGTCGCGTCCTAAATGTTTTCTCGTCATAAGAAGCTTTTTGTTCGTCTAACTGGACTCGCTGGTTCTTCCAGGTCCAGGAGTTCGAACATGTGAACGGTCAGTGGTCGATGCCCTGGATGGCCGACCTGGAGGAGAACAAGAGGAATGCAGTTCAGCCTGACTCACCTGGGAAAACCCCGTCCACTGGGACCCCCGCGGACACGCAACCCAACACCCCCGCCCCAGGTAGGACACGCACACACCGACTCTGTTCACGATCGTCATCGTGAAGGTTTAGTCTGCCGAGTGTAACGAGTGAATCCGTTTCTTCTTTGTAGCCGATGACTCTTCAAAGAATGACGAGGCGTCGAAGGACGGAGAGAAGGAGTTGAAGAAGGAGGCCGAGGCCGAGAAGAACGGCAGGGAACCGATCAAAGCCAACAACGAGGTACAAGAAGGATTTATAAATGTGAACACAGACGGATTAGTTTGAGGTGGTTCAATACTGGTTTCTTCATGACATTCACAGGTCATCGCCATCCTGGACGATGACGAGAAGACTCCGCCCACCAAGCAGGAGAAGACGAACGGGGAGGAGGCGATGGACACGGACAAAACGAGCAACGGGGTGACGGAGAGCATGAAGGAGAAGGATGGCGAGAAGGAGGGAGAAAACGAGAAGAGTTCAGAGGGAGGAGACGAAAGCAAACCACCGTCGGAGACAAAGACGGAGGGGTCAGAGGTCAAACCTGAGGACTCCGAGGTCAAAGGTAAAACTTGTCCATTTTTTGAGGGATCTACAGTAACTGCATTTTTTTGGTCCTAATAGTTTTTTATTCTGCAGCAGAGGAAAAGAAGGAAGATAAAACGGAAAAGATGGACACGACTCCTGCTGCAGATGAAAAGAAAGGTACCAGAAGCTTCTCTTTAAACTAGGGATGCACGATATTATCGGCTTGGTATCGGTATCGGCTGATATTAGCGATAAAGTTAAATATCGGACATCGGCCTTTCCATTATTAAAAAAAAATACAACTTCACCGAAATAAAAGGCTTCTGTTTTAAATTAAATTTTAATTTAAGAAACTATCAAGTTTATCTATTAATGCACTACTTATCTGCTTTTCACTTGTCGCTTGTGAACAGGTTGAGTGTAGATTGGTGAAGATTTACCGATCAGCTCTGTTCGAGTGTTGTCATTGTGTTAAGAGTAAATGTCATGAATACATTTGACATTAAACATAATCCAGGTTGAAGCGTTGCATCATTTTCAATCCCCTTTTTGACATCTGCATTTGGTCGCAGGCCAAATTGACAAAGACCATTCAGAATAATGTATTTTAATTCCACAGCTGTGTAGTTTCTGTAAGTAGGTCTAAGGAAATAAGTATCGGTTATCGCCCAAATAAGTTTTAACATATCGCATATCGGCCAAAAATCCAATATTGTGCATCCCTACATTAAATGTTCCCGTTTGTGCTCTGATGTGCCGTAACGACTCCCCCTCTGTTGTTTCTGAAGACCTGAAGGAGGACAAAGATGCTCTGAAACCAGAGGAGGCGACCAAACTTCAGAACGGCGACGGCACCAAAGAGAGCTTGGCGTCGGCAGCGGCCTCCACGGGGAGCAGCGTCAGCGAGGAGAAGAAAAAGGCGAAAACACGATTCATGTTCAACATCGCAGACGGAGGATTCACAGGTTCAAGCCCAGGCGCTCGGAAACGAACCCTAAACATGTTGGTTTGGATGAAATCTCTGACATCATCTGGTTTCTCCTCAGAGCTCCACTCTTTGTGGCAGAACGAGGAGCGAGCCGCCACAGTTACCAAAAAAACCAACGAGATCTGGCACCGCCGCCACGACTACTGGCTGCTGGCTGGTATCATACAGTATCCTTTACTCATCTGAGCGATGACCCGCTCGTTTGTCTGGAATCCCCTGAGTAGGCCTGTCACAATTAATCAATTAATCGCATGATAAATGAAAATTATCAACCTCGTTTTCATTTATCGGTTTTAGCGTTTCTTCATGTCTCTCTCTTTGTACTGAAGACACTGGATGACAAAAGGCTCAACTCTGGTGCTGACCCCTCTCTTTTCTCTCTAAAATCTGTTTTAACCGTCCAGAATAACACTTTTGGACGGTTAAAAGCAGCTAAGCTACGAGCTCAGCTAACAGGCCGACCTCGGGGAACAAAACCTCCGTCTTGTGGAGGCTCCAAAATTCACAGTTGAAATCCGTACCTTCGTGTTTTTCTCTGCAAGAAGAAGCTGAGAACTTGTTTACTGATTTTATTTAATTTTTATTAAAAGCTTTGTGTGATAAATGCTATGCTAAAGAGCTCAAACCACACTGAGCTTCTGCCATTTTGAAAACAACAACAAAAAAAAAGAGACAACCCATGTCACGTCAAGGGGCCTCCCTCCCATTTTTCTTGAGACACGCTGCTTGCTCCCTCACTATCCATCCTTCGGCTCAGGCTTATACTGCCATCCAAAAAGGTACTGCACACAAAATAAATTAAACCTTTCTTCTTAAATTTGACAATAATTACTAATTATTGTCAAATTTCACTCAATATTATCGATTATCGCAATAATTTCTGAGACAATTAATCGCCCAGCAAAATTAGTTATAGTGACGGACCTAGTCTGAGGGTGCGCCTGTGAAATGTTCCTCTGCTCGTCGTTTCCTTTGACCGTCGCTCTCTTCAGACACGGTTACGCTCGCTGGCAGGACATCCAGAACGACGTGAGGTTCGCCATTCTCAACGAGCCTTTTAAAGGAGAGATGAACAGGGGCAACTTCCTGGAAATCAAGAACAAGTTCCTGGCCCGGAGATTTAAGGTGATTACTTGGACTGTCTGATGTTTTTATTAAAGATAAACTGTTGGGATGTCCTCCGACGCTGACTTTCCATCTGCCTCAGTTGTTGGAGCAAGCGTTGGTGATCGAGGAGCAGCTGCGTCGTGCCGCCTACCTCAACATGTCTGAGGACCCCTCCCACCCCTCCATGGCTCTGAACACCCGCTTCAGTGAGGTGGAGTGTCTGGCAGAGTCCCACCAGCATCTCAGCAAGGAGTCTATGTCCGGGAACAAACCGGCCAACGCCGTCTTGCACAAAGGTACACGCTCTGAGCGGACGGAGAATGTCGGGTCAGCTCTGCTCCAGATGTTGCCGTTTCTGACTCTTCTCTCTGCGCCTCAGTGCTGAAGCAGCTGGAAGAGCTGCTGAGTGACATGAAGGCAGATGTGACCCGCCTCCCGGCAACCATCGCTCGGATACCGCCGGTGGCCGTGAGACTCCAGATGTCTGAGAGGAACATCCTGAGCCGCCTAGCGAGCCGAGGGACGGACACTCAGGCACAGACACAGCAGGTGAACTTATTCCTTTAGTCATTTTTTACAGTAGTCCCTCGTTTATCTCCGGGGGGGGGGGGGGGGTCGTTCCAAACAACCCCGCTAGGGCTGGGCGATATGGACCAAAATTAATATCTTGATATTTTTAAGATGAATGGTGATATACGATGTACATCTCAATATTTTTTTTCTTTCCATAAATAATAAAAAATATATTTCTGCGTCAAAGCGTAGTCCTAATTGTCACACAGGCGCCTTTATTAACAAACAGCTGTAACTACAAAATAAATGTCTCAGAAATAAAGTTTTTTTTCCTACATAACAACCAAATACTGTGCACTTAAAATTTAAACAGAAAGCATACAAAGGCTGATTCTAATGGTGTATCCAATCAACCTTTGTTAACCTTTATTAACAAACAGCTGTTAGTAACTGGGACCCTGTGTACACAGTTTCGTTCCATGTACCACGTGGTGCGAATGACAAACTCTGACTCTGAAAGCCCACATGGTTGTATATTTGTTTCTTTCAGAATTGTATGGTTCCTGTGCTCTTGAACGCACCGTGGCTGTTCTGATGCTAGTGAACGCACCGCTCTGTAAAGTGCTGTGCTGCGTGCCGTGCGTTGGAGATTTTTCTCTCCTGGCACCGACGCAGCCTTGCTGTTTGAGCTTCTGTTTGCGCGTTGTTACTGCTGTGTGTAAATACCAGAAGAAACTAGGGTTTAGTCGATTCTAGGACATCTTGGGAGTTTTTATATTTCACGTCGACCAGTCGCCACCGCCCGCCCCGCTGTTCCCATCCCTATTCCACCCAATCCACTGGGTGGGTTAAATAAAACAAGACAGAACAGCTGTTCTTTTGTTTTTTACGTGCCGCACGTTTCTTTCACTTTTGCAGCTTAATAATAGTTTTGGTTTTCCTGTGACTTATTTGCAGTATGATAAACGGTAGGAGCATAAATATACACCCAATGTTTTGTTGTTTGTTTTATTATGATATGGCGTCCTGAGATCCTATGACGTTGTCGACTCGACTTTTATCACGTTAAAGTTGACTTTAAAAATATGTAGTCGTTCAACCCCTAGAAGAAACGCAGCAATTAAATCACCCTAAGCTGGTTATCTGTCTCCGTGTTTTTTTTAATGAGAAGACGACTTCATACCTGGCCGCTCTAAACCAGTTGATGTCCTGGAGAACACCAAACCTCTCCTTTGTAGCAGCTACCCAGTCATGTTCACACATCTGGAATTTACACCCATGTCACCAGAGTGTCTCCACTGTGAGTCAACAAAACAAAGTGACGATTGATATCTGCGTATGCATCTAGCTTGTTCACAGTGGGAGCTGCAGGAGGCGGGGGGGAGCGGGTGAGGGGCTGGGTTTGTATTCAGTGAGGGAGAGGAGGAGGGGCCACGTGAAGGCACGGACTGGCAGAAAAGTGCTGAGTCAGTCAAAGGGGTTTTAGTATACTGTACTTATATTTAGTATAATTATAACTTATAACAAGTATAATTATAACTACGTAGAGTATAAGACTATATCGATATAGTCTAATTTTTTATCGCGTATGAAATTATCTCTATTTTAAAAATATCTATCGCCCAACCCTAACCCCCGCGATAAGTGGAAAACCACGAAGTAGGAACGCTGTATTTATTTTAGATTTTATATATTTTAAGGCTTTATGAAACATTCCTACACTCTTGCAACGTTCTAAACTCTTAAATCTGCATAATTTCAAGAACATACGTATATGTACTGCACAGTAGCTACGTACGGCAACATTTTGTATGGGTACTCACCAGCCTTGGTCCGGTTCTGGTCCGGTTCTGATCGGCTCTCTGCAGCCGTTGAGCACCAAGATGTTTTTAGAGAGACAGCACAAAACCACACAAAGGTCCTGATCGAGTCCAGATAATCCAGAGGGATCCGGATGAAAAAAGTCCGAGCGAGCTCTGGAGAAGACACCGGACCTCCAAGCAACGCCTCCCCGCTCGAGAGGCTTCCTGGGCCGTCGAGCAGCGCTCGGATTGACCGGTGAGGCTGGAAGTCCGGTTCTGGTCCAATTCCCACAGTCCCTTGCATCCACTGAGCGCCGAAGTCACTTTCAATAAGGACCAAACTTTTTTCAGATCGAATCAAAACTTTCCCTCCATTTCAGCAGAAAGCTGTGGCCGGAAGCACTGTTGGCTTCTGGGTAATGTAGTCCTTTTGACTGGTGATACAGTAAAGAATTATTGAGAGAAAACTACAAAATGGCCAAAGTTTTTTCGTTAACTTTTTACTGTATCCTGTACCGTCCCAATCACGTGAGTAATGTTAAAGCTGACCATCGTGTGTCGTGTACAATCTTACATTGAAAAACCACAAAAGAGTGAGTCCGCAAAAGTCGAACCGCGAAGTAGCGAGGGACTACTGTAAATGTTCTTATCTTCTTAAATCTGTTTATTTTTAATATGCTTGACACTAAATGTATTTTTTGTTTCTCGTCCGTCAGATGTCGCAGCAGTAGACTGAAAATCGTCTCTAACTTCAGAAACCACCCCCTGCCTCACGTCAACATTCCTGATTGGTGCACAGCAGAATGACGGACAGCGCGTCCAAAGCTCGAAGCCACGCCCCCGTCCACTTCTCACCTCAGACGGACTTTACAGAAATGTTTTCAGGAGGATCCAAACGCTCCGGTTCCCCCAACAAAATGAGGCCGTGGACAGAAACGCGTTTTTTTATTTTTTCTCCCCGTTTTTTTTTTTCAATTTCTGTATTAATATTATTGATATAATGTTATTATGATGTTTTTTTTGGGACCTGAATAAAAAATGAAAACAGTCTGTTGGTTTGCTCAGTTAAGAAGAGGTGGGCATCAATGGGCCGACGAGGTAATACAAACTTTAATGTATATTTCTTCAATAAGCTGATAAGTTTTGTAGGACTGGAGATAAATTCAGTTTCAGAGAAATAACCTCGAAGGTTTTTACAGAAAACAGTTTTAGACCGACTCATCACCGGAGACGTGAACATCTGAAAGGACACGTTTATCCGTCAGAAGCTGCTGGACATCGACTTGTCCCTCGGTGGTTCTCATTTTGAGCTTAAGGTACGGTTTTAACGTCCGTTTTTAAAACCTAACGTGGATCAGCACCTAGCAGAAGTCTGGACCTAAAACAAGGAACGGGTTTGAACCAACATTTTTAGCGTTGCAGGTTCAGAAAACACGCAGCAGATGTGTAGACGCACAAGAAAATCCAGCCACATTGGGACGACTTGTCAAACTCCAGGCCCGAGGGCCAAATATGGCCGTTGGAAACATTTTGTTGGGCCCCCCCAAGATGAAATTTTAAAAGTGAAATATTTTTATTGCTTCTCATTTTGCCTAAAAGCTGAGCACGCTTTATTAACTTGTGACTGTTGGCTGCCAATAAGTATTAGTTTGAATTTTTAGTAATCTTTGATTTTCATGTGGAAAAAGTGACGGAACGATGAAACTTGTTGCGGTCAAGAAAAGTGAAATATCTGGAGTGAATGTTTCAGCTGGAACTGGTCCTTGGTTTAAAATCTTTTTTGGTTTTGGCCCATTTCATAATGGTTTGACCCGATTGTTTAAAAGTAGGAATGTTAATGTTGCAATGAAATCCCTGAAACTAGCATCAAAACTGAAATGGAGATTTTAATGTTGAAGACGGTGAGAAGTCATTAAACAGCTGACGGTCAAAGAAAATATCTAATTCTTCATCTTGGAGAAGAAAATTCAGATCTTTTGAAGGTGGAGTAAAAAAGTTAAACAATAATCATTTAACCGGCTGTGGACAGGTTTATTTTTATTTTTTTGAAAGATAAGTTTTAATCTGCTTGGCAATATGCTTTGGACAGGCACCACCATTTTGTAGTTTCAACAATCCTTCACTGTATCACCAGTCAAAAGGACTACATTACCCAGAAGCCAACAGTGCTTCCGGCCACAGCTTTCTGCTGAAATGGAGGGAAAGTTTTGATCCGAGCCGAAAAACCGTTTGGTCCATGTTTGAATAAATTGTTTAACAGCTAATCCACTTTTTCTAGTTCTGTCTTAAAAATAAAATCGTCCAATATCTGAATTTTCATATCGGTTCACGTGAATGCTGTATTTTATTTTTTAAACCTTTACAGCATTTTTAACTTTGCATGACATAATTATTCAGATAGAAAGTTTGTTTCTGCAGGAGGTGCTACAACCAGCTGCTGCTGCTGCTTGAGCTTACAAATAACCATCTTTTTCATGTACCATAAATAAGCATGTTCCGTGTTTTCCGCCGTACTGCCCTATAAGTCTCATCGGTCCAAATATGTCTAATCGAGTGCAAAAATCCATAAATAAGTCGCATCGCCGTATAAGTCTATTATGCGTCACCGCTGACAACCTGGAAATATGGGCCTATTACATGACACAACGGCATGCCAAACTACTCGAGTGCCATCTAGTGGTTGAAAATGGTAGTGTTCAATATTTTCAGTCAGAATGAATAAAAACTGTCAAATCTCAGTCAAAAATTGGTTTATAAATATGGGAGAAAATCCATAAATACGTCGCTTTGCTGTATAAGTTGCAAGGCATGTAGATTATGCAAAAAAACTACGACTTTTATAAGGCGAAAAATACGGTAATGCAAAACTGGCAGCAGTGCAATGGTTTATAGAGCGTTCGCTGTAAAATGTTTGAGGTTGGAGTTTTTAAGTCGGCAGCAGTCCACTCTGGTCCTGCTGTTAGCTCGTTGGGCCAGTCAGAATTAAATTAATTTCTAGAAAATCTTAAGTTTACAGCGCTACATACAACAAGCTGTTGATTTTCCTCAATCGTTCTACGGACCTCCATTTAAAACGAGCTGAACTAACCCTTTATTAAGAAGCTTTGATCCAACAAACAGCTGCTATGAGTCCAGGAGGATAAAAAATAAACTGCATATTTGCAGGCAAACAAACAAGTCTTAACTGATCTGTTTTAGGATGTGAAATGTTTAAATTCACAAAATAAATCTTGTTTTTGACTTTACATCGTGATGAAGTGAATTCTGAAGATTTTAAAACGTTCAGATAGAAAATAAATCGTCCAAACTCCGTTTACGGGACGGTATCGTTTTATTCAACGTTCCAGGCCTCTTTCTGAGCATCATTTAACAAAAGGCTCACGTTTTACAGGGACAACGAAACTGAGCGACGACGAGTGCGTTTTCATAAAACATTTAGTGTTTTTACTGACGAAGAAGCAAAAAAAATCAATCACAAATGCAGATAATTCAGATTTGAAGAGAAGAAACGTGTTTCACATTCAAACAGCATCAGAACTGAAGAGATTCGTAAAACATGAGATTCAGACAAAACCTTTTTAAACAGCATCAGCGCCAACAGCAGGATCAATAAAGCCAATAAAAACAAGAATAGCAGTAAATAACTTGTTTTATAAAGTACAACCCCTCTCTTCCATGCAGCTAAATTCACAGATATAATTGTTTTGCTTGGATTATTTATAAGAGCAAATAATCTCCAATTCTTCCGAAAGTACATCAGTTTAAATACATTTTGCACATATTTGCTTCACAATGCAAATTCACTCGCGACGTGGATTTTCTGATCTTTTAAGCTGTTAAATTTAAGCTGAATGTAAAAAGAAAATGTAAAGATTAAAGTTCGACGTGCGATTTAACAGAACATGAAAACGTGTTTGCTTTGAGACTTTGTGAAACTCCTCGATCAGTTAATTTCATTTTCACAAGAAAAGAACAACAGATGCACCAAACGATTTCTTGTAGATTTTTTTGCTTAAATTCTGCTGCAGGTGAACAAATCTTGCAGAATTATGACAATTAATCTGACAAACAGCTGCTTTAAACTTCAGAAAGCAAGTAAAGATAACAGCGGTGTAACAGGACCAAACGAGGTTTCTGACAGCTTCTGTGGCCGCCTCACCTGGACATGTACAAACTCCTCACAAACCATCAAAAACAGGAAGTTCATGTAATCAAATCTGTCCTGAATCCCCCACACGGTCCTCCCAGTGACATCAGCAACAACAGTTACATTAAACCTGCCAGGAACAGAGGAGGAGCAGGAGGAGCACATCGAAGGCCGTGCATGGAGGTTTGTGAGGAAGAGGAGGGCGGAGAGCAGGAGGAGCACTGACTGGGCTCGGCGGTGATTGTTGGTGCAGACACGTCGTCTTTGCAGAGCAGCTCAGTAGAAAAAATACACTGAGGAGAGAAAAACACTGTTAACAGGAGGAAAAACACTTCGCTGTGATTTTAATCATCTTTAAAATGTTTTAATGGCAGAATGAGGAGAAGTGATGCTACATTCACTGACTTCAGAGAAACAAGAAATCAGACAGAAGAATTACAGCATAAAGAAGTAAAACATTAAATACAATATATTTTACACAAAATTCATAAAGTTTGGATGTGTAAAACAAAAGCAGAACAAAAAACGATTTATATCTTATTTACCTCCTATTTTTTATAGTACAGCCTGCAGGTAAACAAGCCTGACATATTTTTTTTATTTCTTTGGGAAAATATATTATTATTATTTTAAGTTAACCACAGTAAAGTCACAAAGATTGGTCTAAAAATTCAGAAGTAAACAAAATCTGCAATAATCTGCATTACAGGATTATCAATAAATCTGGAAGACTTCTGGAGTAAACTGTTTCAAGCAGCTCTGTTTCAAATACATATTTTAAAATGTTTCTTATTATAGTTGAAAACGATGACAAACATTTAAATATTAAACCTGAACAAGCAGCGTGTTTCTAATTTTAGTTTTCTACATTCGCCTTAGAATCTAGCTGTTTTTTTGTTACCTCTTTCTTTTAGCCATCCTATTTGTAAAAAACAAAAAAACAAAACTGCAGTATGGCTTTTTATAACTGTTTATTGTTGTTGCTGTTGTCCATTGTTGTCATCTTTCTTTGTTGAAATCAGGTCTCTCTTGTAAATGAGTCCTCGAGGCTCAATGGGATTACCTGTCTAAATAAAGGTTGAATTAATTTATAAATGAGATCAAGTCATTCACAGTGGTTCCAACCGTCATCCTTGAGGAACACCATCCTGCATGTTTTATTTGTTTTCCTGATTTGACACACCTAACTTGAATGAATGAGTGATTAACAGCCTTCTACAGAACTTAATAAAATCACTGAATCAGGCGTATTGGAGCAGGAAACAATTGAAACATGCAGGATGGTGTTCCTCAAGGACCAGTGTTGAGAACCATGGAATTAGTGAATAACTAAATTACTTTTTGCATTATGGAAGTTAAATTTTCATTCAACCTTTATTTAGACAAGTAAATCCCATTGAGCCTTGAGGACTCATTTACAAGAGAGACTTGATTGAAATAAAAACATGTTCAAAATGCAGATTAAGATTAAAGTCTGACAAGCATGTGAGTTTATTAAGACAAACATGTTTCACATTTAAATCCTTTGTGTGGATTAAATGCAGTGAAAATAATCAATCATCAGAACTTGTACCTGAAATGACTGAAGGTGTTTGTTGTTTACTTACAGAAGATGACACCAACAAATATAACACCTATAACTGCCATCATGATCATCATCTGCAGGAGAACCAAACAACAAGAGATTAGCTTCAGCCCGACCAGATTAAACAGTTTGTAGAACGAAAAAGCTCTGGATGATTTACGGGATGGATTAGTTTACTGCAGCTGAAAATTCAACCGTTTATAGAAACACTTTTTACATTCTGTGTGATAAAAACGATGCGATCGAAGTTCTCATGAGTACTGGATGGGAGGAGTTGCATCACAGATCACAGCTGGCTGGTTAATCCCTGAACGTCACTGTAATCCAGATTGAGATTTTCCTTCCTCTCTCTCTGGCTCCCCTGTCAGTCAAACTCTCACACCGTGTTCTCTGAACTAATCCTCCAGCTTTTCTCTGATTGGACCATGTGAAGCGCACATCCAGACGACGGGCTGCAACGAGACTGAAACGATTGAAGGAGCGGCCGGTCAGGAAGAACATTTATATATTTCACAAATAAACTTCTTCTGGTGCTGCTCTGGACATGATTTCACTGGGTTTAGGTCAGAAGATTATTAATATGCATAATCTCTGATTATAACCAGGAACAGAAGCTGGAAGTTGAAGCCACAAGGACGAGTGCCCCCTAGTGGCCCACTGCAGTATAGCTTAACTCTAAACCTGTTGTTCTCACAGGAAACAGCTGGTCCAGGTGTGGACAGGTTCGGCTCACCTTGCAGTTTTTCCACCAGTACTTGTTCTTGAGTTTAGCAGCGCTGCTCTCGAACTGCGAGGCTCCGGCCTGCAGGGCGTCGGCCCGATCGTCCAGCTCTGACAGCTTCTGGTCCCGCTCCAAGACTTTGTCCACGTTCACACGCATGATGTCCACCACCTGAGGGACCACACACACCTGTCGTGACTGGATTTATCTCAGACTAGTTGGCTCCATTTGGTATTTTAGTTCGCAGTCAGATTGTTGAAATAAAGCAACACCAGAATAAGTTTCATTTCTCGGTTTAATAATTCAGACAAATGTCTGATTAGTTTGAGGAGAAGCTGGAAAGAACAGAAACGTTGGCGTTCCCTGACCTCGTCCACCTGCGCCTGCGTCTGCTGAAGACGTCTGTTGCTGGTGAGATTAGGAGGCGGAGCTCGAGGGCCCCCCTCACCTTCTGGGGCCCCGGGGGCTCCTGGAGCACCGGCTGCATCTGGAGTCGACCTGCAGGAACAGATCATCATATCAGAGGAAGATGATGAACTGATAATCAGATCAGAGAGGAAGATCATGAACTAATCATTGGATCAGAGAGGAAGATGATGAACCAATCGGTGAGGAGAGGAAGATGATGAATTGATCATCATATCAGAGGAAGATGATGAACCAATCAGTGAGGAGAGGAAGACGATGGACCCACAATCATATCAGAAAGGAAGATGATGAACCGATCATCAGATCAGAGAGGAAGATGATGAACCAATCATCAAATCAGAGAGGAAGATGATGAACAGATCATCAGATCAGAGAGGAAGATGATGAACCAATCATCAGATCAGAGAGGAAGATGATGAACAGATCATCAGATCAGAGAGGAAGATGATGAACAGATCATCAGATCAGAGAGGAAGATGATGAACTGATAATCAGATGAGAGGAAGATGATGAACCACTCGGTGAGGAGATGAAGATGATGAACAGATAAACAGATCAGAGAGGAAGATGATGAACAGATGATCAAATCAGAGAGGAAGATGATGAACCAATCATCAGATCAGGGAGGAAGATGATGAACCGATGATTATATCAGAGGAAGATGATGAACCAATCAGTGAGGAGAGGAAGATGATGAATTGATCATTATATCAGAGGAAGATGATGAACCCATAATCATATCAGAGAGGAAGATGATGAACTGATAATCAGATCAGAGAGGAAGATCATGAACTAATCATTGGATCAGAGAGGAAGATGATGAACCAATCGGTGAGGAGAGGAAGATGATGAACAGATCATCAGATCATAGAGGAAGACGATGAACAGATCATCAGATCATAGAGGAAGATGATGAACAGATCATCAGATCA